CACCTTAAAGTACCAGTTAATCCAAAAAGGTGAAAATGGAGATGCAGATCATTGTAATTATGCATAATATGTTTAATTAGCATAATTAATGCACATACTTAAGTATAATTATGCTGTCTACCTTTTGAAACAGCTGTCATACACCCCAATGATGCCTTAAAAAGCTGCCTAAGCAGGTTTTGGAATTGATATGCAAGTTATATGTGTAGGCAAAGTGAAAGACAGAGAAAAAGACAACGGACAAGCAAAAAAAGACAAAAAGCTTGCCAGACAAACCACAAGAGCGGGACGAATACTGAAATAGGAAAGGACGGCAGTGGGAAAAGAGAATATCGGGTAGGTAATTCTCTCCTCATCCCCTGCTGACTGTCCCAGCATGAGTTTAGAGGGAACAGGCGTCTCTCAGTCACATATGAAGTAAGCAAACAGCCGGGGAAGTGTGACAGTATGGCAGGGATATTTCTCATCCCTGGTGTAGCATAATGCCCTACTGCTGCTCTGCGTGAGGCCTGTAGCCCTGAGAATTGATGCATGGACGAGAGACAGCAAGACACTGAGTCCGTTGCGCTCAGGAGACACACTAAGGTTGTGTTTTGGTTGGAGAGTAGGCGTCTTTAGTGCCTGTTTGAACACATTCAACCACATGAGTGTTTACTTGGAGCTAACTTTATTATTTAAGATACACTATATTGCCTAAAGTATTGGGTCACCCCTCTAAATCATTGAATGCAGGTGTTCCAATCACTTCCATGGCACCTAGGCATGCAGAATGCTTGTACAAACATTTGTGAAAGAACAGGTCGCTCTCAGAAGCTCAGTGAATTCAAGCATGGAACCAGGATAGGTCCATTCATGAAATTTCCTCAACACTAAATATCCCACGGTCAACTGTTAGTGGTATTATAACAAAGTGGAAGCAATTGGGAATAACAAAAACTCAGCCATGAAGTAGTAGGCCACGTTCATAGAGAAGGGTCAACGCATGCTGAGGCACTCAGTGTACAAAGTCGTCAACTCTGCAGAGCTAATAGCTACAGGCCTCCAAACTTCATGTGGCCTTCAGATTAGCTCATGAACAGTGTGTAGAGAGCTTCATGGAATGGGTTTCCATGGCCGAACAGTTGCATCCAAGTTTAACGCAAAGCGTTGATGCTGTGGTGTAAAGCACGCCACTGGACTCTAGAGCAGTGGAGACGTGTTCTCTGGAGTGATGAATCACGCTTCTCTGTCTGGCAATCTGATGGACGAGTCTGGGTTTGGTGGTTCCCAGGAGAACGGGACTTGCCTGAAGGCATTGTACCGAGTGTAGAGTTTGGTGGAGGGGGGATTATGGTGTGGGGTTGTTTTTCAGGGGTTGGGCTTGGCCCCTTAGTTCCAGTGAAAGGAACTCTTAATGCTTCTCCATACCAATATATTTTGGACAATTTCATGCTGCCAACTTTGGGGGAACAGTTTTGGGGATGTTCCTGTTCCAACATGACTGCACACCAATGTACAAAGAAGGGTCTATAAAGACATGGATGAGCGAGTTTGGTGTGGAGGAACTTGAGTCCTGACCTCAACCCGATTGAACGCTTCTGGGAAGAATTTGAGCGGCGACTGCGAGCCAGGCCTTCTCATCCAACATCAGTGCCCAAACTCACAAATACACTTCTAAAAGAATGGTCAAAATTTCTCACAAACACACTCCTAAACCTTGTGGAAAGCCGTCCCAGAAGAATTGAAAGGTGTTATCCACCTTATTCTGCTCTAAACAATTGACTGCTGTCTACCTCTGCTTTCAAAGTTACATAAGCCAACCGCAATTACCAGGAACTATTTGTCCCAGGAACTTTTTTCACAGGAACTTTTTTTTTTCCCCAGACCGCTTGCTAACTGCGTTTACACCGGTCCGGGGCGGGGAGATGACGTTGAACTGCGTGCGACTGCTCTTCCTAGCCTGCGCGTTTGTTTTGAGTTTTGTATGGAGGAGATTCAAGCTTTGCTGCTTTTTTGTGTGCGATTGGTTTACTAACGAGGTATTTAACAAAACGGCAGAAAAGAGACGAGCACCCAAAGCGTATTCAGAAAGCTCGCAATGCTAGATATAAAAGTTGACGTTTGTTATCAGCGGACATTGACCGTGAGATGAATGGGACAAACGCGCGCCATCGGGCAGAAAGAATAGCGTGGTAAGAACCAATCAGAATGTTCAGTGCACAAGTCCCACCCCGAAAGTTCCTGAACTCTGAAAAAGTAGTACCTCGCCAGCAGGCACTTTCTGGGGGGGGGGGGGGATTTTTACTCGGAACTTCATTTAGACCCTGGTTCATGGGGTTTAAACACACCAAGTACCACCCCAAAGTTCCTAGTTCCTGGGGAAAGTTCCTGCGGTGGAAACGCGGCTTTAGTCTATATTTCTCTCAGAAATGTGGGGAGAGTAGGCTACATTATACGCTGAGTTTCGGTTCATTTATGAGACCAGAGTCCAGTTTGCGCGCCGGCGCCTCCGTCATGATGATCTATTTCCTACTTTATTTAATTCTTATTTATTAAAACCAGGCAATTGGTTGATGAAACATTGATTAAAATTAAGATACAATTAATAAAAAACGAAATTTACTTTAAAGAAAGGGTTTGTGGTTTCTCTTTAAGATCTCTGAGAAAGCTGGGGAAAGTTGGGAAAGTCGCTTTCAGAGCGGTCATGTGCGTAATGGAGAACTGTCACATCCGTAACATTGTTTTTTTCTCATAAATGCGAACACGAAAAATAAAATAAAAATAATATTTTATGTTCTGTGGAGGCCGACCCTTCTTCATCCGGTTAGTAGGCTATTACTTTTGTTTTGCGAAGTGTAATCCATAGAATTACTAAAAAAATGTTGCCACCTAAAAGTGTGTATTTCGCTCATATTAAATATAAAGCGCATGTGTAGACTGATATTTTTCTAATGTCTGGACTAGAGTGCTAGCATTCTATGTAAACAAATACTAGAAAACCGTTTAGTCAGTTGAACCCGCTATGAATTATGGGAAATACAACGAGTGCAGAAAAAGGTGGATAGCAACAAAGTGTGGACCAACTGTATATTACAGTAAACCCTATGGATTAAGAATGTAATGTCATGAAAGTCCATGTGCATACAAAGGCAGATGTCCCAAAACTTTTGGCAATATTGTGTCTCATTTAACACAATGGTACAAGAAAACTGTAATCATTCAGTTCCATGGTGTTTCAAAGTACCGTGTTATTACCATCTGATAACATCCCTGAGCCGCAGTATTTTGTTGTGAGGGAATTCTTTCATCTTGTTTGTAGGTGGATGCGCACAAATGCAAATGTGTATGTGTGTGGTGTAAAAGAGACACACTGATTACCCATAATACCTCCCTTTTATCTCTAAATACATCAGCTTGATAACACTCTTTTGCGTTAAATGAGAGGATTTGCTCGTTTATCCAGGTGTCGTTTTTTCTTCTCTCAGTGTTTCACAGGTACAGCTCTGTTGAGATGAGAGCGCATGAACGGCACCATAACCCTTGGAAAACGCATCTGAAGTCAAAATCATGCCAGAACCTAATTGGTACTGATGATAATTAAGTTGTAAATGTGACTGTTTGCAAAACAATTTAGTTTTAGATATTTTATGTACTATGTACTGTTGGTGAAGGATAGCAATAAAACTTAGCAATAAAACCTGACATTTCTTCCCTGATGGCCATCATTTAATCTTGATTTTGCATTTTTTTCTCATTAGCACTAAAAAGTTCTTATAGCAGTAGATGGAAAAACAGAAAAAGCCATATAGTTGCCCAACATGTTCATTTGGATTTGGCCAAAATAAATGATATCCATTTATCGTAAGTGGGAACTTAATAGAAGGACTAAAAAGCAGTAGAAGTGCATTACTCACTATTTCATACTATTTGTCCAAGGTTTCCTTCAGTGCAACAAAGTATTTGCAAAACAAAAGGCCCGATTAAAACTGATGATGTAGTTCAAAAGTCAATATCTGGTAATGTTGTTTGTGAAAGAACATGATCATTATACATCGTTGGGTACGCCCTCACTTTTTCCTATTTTCATAACCCAACTTTATGCTTCGGTGAACCAAACAGGACCAATTATCAAAAACAAACGAAATTACAAGCTTACAGAAATAACAGCTTCAGATATTCCATCAAACGTGTCAGCAAATTTGGTTACGCTGCGGTTTTATTGTGATGACAAATTGTAATCAATTGGATAAAGAGTTTCAGGTTTAAATAGTGCAAATAGCGCCACTGATGTGTGAAAAACTATCAAAAAGCTCATGAAAACTCAGTTTCGCTTCCCTTTTTGAGTCATAAAACACCATTTTCTCTTCAATTGATGTGGTTATTCTTTTCAGCACACAATAAACAACACACAAACACATAGAATGGGTCATTCGTTCACCATTTGGACATGCAATAAGATTTTAAATAGGGGAATATAACATGATTTGATTCATGATGGTAAATCCTCCCTCAGACCATCCGGTCCCTCCAAAAAAAAAAGCCATTCGGATGAGGGCTCTGATCATAAATCAAGAAGAAAAACTATGAGAGGCTTTGCCTTGCCTCGGATGGCTTTTGAGTGTAAAAAAGACCTTGAGTCTGATATCTTGATATGGTTGTAATCGAAAGCCCCGGGGTATGAATATGAATTTAACGAGCACAAGAGGGAAGAGTTTGAGCGAGCACGCCGGTCACCACAAATCTATTAAGTGGGGAAAAGGTGGGAAAGACTAGACTGGACTGGCTTTTAGGAGGCTTTATGTTTTAGATAAGCTTTTATTTTGAGTTTTCTATGTGCCTTGGAGCATTTAAACACTAATAAGGTTCAGTTTCACAGCTTGTTTGTGTGTAATGCATTGAGGTTGGACACCAAATGTGTTTTTTAAAAAAAAAAAAAAAATGTTTTCAATGATTATCAACACAGCTACAATAATTTCCATTAAAACAGGCTGACATGTTCAGGAATGGCTGGTCACACTCACCATATTGAGTGACTGTGGCAGAAGTCCAGAGCTGAGATGATCTGTCTGAAGAACTTTCGAGCTTCTTTGGGTGTTAATCTACCCTTCTTTACCAGATAGTCAAACAGCTCTCCGCCTGACACATGCTCTAAAACCAAATATCTGCAAACAGAAACAAAAGACAGAAATAGCATTATAGTAACACCTTTTAATGAAACATGAGGTTTGGGCGGGACATATCAAAGAGCCTGTATAACTTATGAACCTTTAAAGTCCCCCTACAGTTAATATACCTTAAAACAGTTCCCCTTGTAGTCTCCCCATACCTTAAAACTCATCTTTGATAATCCAAATAAAATAGATATATTAGCATTTTTTCAATATATTAGCATTTTTAATCAGATTTATTCGCAAAATTTCAAGCGATTAATCGCATACTTGTTGTGAAATTAAGCATACATAATTGATCTTATTTAATGCCATATAAGTTTGAACCAGAAACTGATTCATAAAAAGAAGAGGAAGAGCGAGTTATACAGGGTCGTCCACAAATTGATGTATTAGAATTAGGGCTGTCAATATATTAACCTTTTAATCGTGTATACTCACAATTTCGAGCGATTAATCACATACTTATAGTGAAATTAAGCATACATAATTGATCTTATTTAATGCCATATATGTTTGAACCAGAAACTGATTCAGAAAACGAAGAGGAAGAGCGAGTTATACAGGGTCATCCACAAATTGATGTATTAGAATTAGGGCTGTCAATATATTAACATTTTTAATTGCGTATACTCACAATTTCGAGCGATTAATCTCGATTAATCACATACTTATCGTGAAATTAAACATCGTAATAATTAAATCGTGATAATTCGCACCCCTTGGATCTATTATTCGTGATTAATCACATACTTATTGCGAAATTAAGCATACATAATATGTCTTGTTTAATGCATTTATTCGCACAATTTTGAGCGATTAATCGCATACTTATCATGAAATTAAGCATACATAATTGATCTTATTTAATTCCATATATGTTTGAACCAGAAACTGATTCAGAAAAAGAAGAGGAAGAGCGAGTAATACAGGGTCATCTACAAATCGATGTATTAGAATTAGGGCTGTCAATATATTAACATTTTTAATCCTGTGTACTCACAATTTTGAGCGTTTAATCACGATTAATCACGATTAATCACATACTTATCGTGAAATTAAACATACATAATTGATCTTATTTAATGCCATATATGTTTGAACCAGAAACTGATTCAGAAAAAAAAAGAGGAAGAGCGAGTTATACAGGGTCATCTACAAATTGATGTATTAGAATTAGGGCTGTCAATATATTAACATTTTTAATCACGTATACTCACAATTTCGAGCGATTAATCACGATTAATCACATACTGTACTTATCGTGAAATTAAGCATACATAATTGATCTTATTTAATGCCATATATGTTTGAACCAGAAAATGATTCAGAAAAAGAAGAGGAAGAGCGAGTTATACAGGGTCGTCCACAAATTGATGTATTAGAATTAGGGCTGTCAATATTTTAAAAAATAATAAATCGTGATTATTCGCACCCCTTTGATCTATTATGTGTGATTAATCACATACTTATCGCAAAATTAAGCCTACATAATATGTCTTGTTTAATGCATTTACTCGCACAATTTTGAGCGATTAATCGCATACTTATTGTGAAATTAAGCATACATAATTGATCTTATTTAATTCTATATATGTTTGAACCAGAAACTGATTCAGAAAAAGAAGAGGAAGAGCGAGTTATACAGGGTCGTCCACAAATTGATGTATTAGAATTAGGGCTGTCAATATATTAACCTTTTAATCGTGTATACTCACAATTTCGAGCGATTAATCACATACTTATAGTGAAATTAAGCATACATAATTGATCTTATTTAATGCCATATATGTTTGAACCAGAAACTGATTCAGAAAACGAAGAGGAAGAGCGAGTTATACAGGGTCATCCACAAATTGATGTATTAGAATTAGGGCTGTCAATATATTAACATTTTTAATTGCGTATACTCACAATTTCGAGCGATTAATCACGATTAATCACATACTTATCGTGAAATTAAACATCGTAATAATTAAATCGTGATAATTCGCACCCCTTGGATCTATTATTCGTGATTAATCACATACTTATTGCGAAATTAAGCATACATAATATGTCTTGTTTAATGCATTTATTCGCACAATTTTGAGCGATTAATCGCATACTTATCATGAAATTAAGCATACATAATTGATCTTATTTAATGCCATATATGTTTGAACCAGAAACTGATTCAGAAAAAGAAGAGGAAGAGCGAGTTATACAGGGTCATCTACAAATCGATGTATTAGAATTAGGGCTGTCAATATATTAACATTTTTAATCCCGTGTACTCACAATTTTGAGCGATTAATCACGATTAATCACATACTTATCGTGAAATTAAACATACATAATTGATCTTATTTAATGCCATATATGTTTGAACCAGAAACTGATTCAGAAAAAAAAAGAGGAAGAGCGAGTTATACAGGGTCATCTACAAATTGATGTATTAGAATTAGGGCTGTCAATATATTAACATTTTTAATCGCGTATACTCACAATTTCGAGCGATTAATCACGATTAATCACATACTGTACTTATCGTGAAATTAAGCATACATAATTGATCTTATTTAATGCCATATATGTTTGAACCAGAAACTGATTCAGAAAAAGAAGAGGAAGAGCGAGTTATACAGGGTCGTCCACAAATTGATGTATTAGAATTAGGGCTGTCAATATTGAAAAAAAATAATAAATCGTGATTATTCGCACCCCTTTGATCTATTATGTGTGATTAATTAACACAGTCTCATCCCAAATCGTCATATAACTGACGTTTTGGGACGTATTTTGACCATACGTCAATATCCGCCTTTTTAGGGCCCCCTTAAACGTCGGTAGATGGCGATCCCGGGCCGTCATACAACTGACGCTTTACCTTTAACGTCAGTTAGGTGACGGGTTAGGTTTAGGGTTAAGTTTAGGTATGGGGTAGAGTAAGGATCCCATAACCTCATCTACCGACGTTTAAGGGGGCCCTAAAAAGGCGAATATTGACGTATGGTCAAAAGACGTCCCAAAACGTCAGTTATATGACGATTTGGGATGAGACCGGGTTGGATTAATCACATACTTATCGCAAAATTAAGCCTACATAATATGTCTTGTTTAATGGGGGGGGGGGGGGGGGGGCTCGAAGGGGGTCGCGCCCTGGGTGTAATTCAAAGTAGAACCGCCACTGGTTTCTAAAGATACAAAGCTTAATGCAAATGGATGAAGTGACCCTTTAAGCAGTGGTGGAATGTAACGAAGTACAAATACTTTATTACTTTACTTAAGTACATTTTTCACATATCTTTACTTTACTTAAGTAGAGTAAATAGTGCCTACTTTTTACTTTTACTTCGTTACATTTTGCAGCAATTATTATATTTTCTACTCCACTACATTTCTACAACTTCTGTTAAATTTTCGTTTCATTTTCTGATCAGTTTTTCCCCTGCCAAAACGTAAAACGTTCGTTGCACGTTTGTCTCACCAGTGACATTTGGTTGCCATGGATATATCAACCCGGTCACACTAAATGCGTCTCGCACGCAGTGTGTTAATCGTGCAATTTATACGCGAAAATTGGTTTTTACGTGCATAGGAAACGCACCGTGTGTAAAATACGTTTCTTTAGGATTATGGCAAGCCAAGAGGTTCAGAATAACACCATAAATTAATCGCGTTTACTGCCAAACATAGTTATTAACATATGGATAAGCATTATGTGTAGCTATATATTGCCTAATTACAAGCTTGTTTCAGAAATGGTAACAACAATTTTTTTCCCATCATTATTGAACATCATTATAGGAGTATTAAGTTGAATGAGTTAGAATTAAATGTTTTATTAATCATTAGAAAATAGACATTAAGAGAATAAATTGTTATGCAAGTACTTTTACTTTTAATACTTAAAGTACATTTAAAATAAGGTACTTTTTACTTTTTACTTAAGTATGGTTGTCATTGTGTTACTACTTTTACTAAAGTAAATATTTATCTGGATATTTGTACTTTTACTTAAGTACTGAGATTCAGTACTTCCTCCACCACTGCCTTTAAGGGCTTGCGTTCTTAAGAAACAATCACAGAATATGAGTTTGTGTTTAACCTAAACAGACACTGGAATGAATAATTCACTGAAAACTGGCGAGTCACTGTTCTCTCTGCCTGCTCTAATGTAATAAGCCGGCTTTTCTTTACATTAATGCCGTTTTTAATGCATTCGCTTACTGGATAATTGGACTAAAACTTTTTCCAGAGTTTAGCGGTAAAATGATCTGATGGCAAATTCTGTCCGCTATGGAACCTTATTTTGGACTTTTTATCTCAGAATTTCATTATATAAAGTCGCAATTGCAGTATCAAACAGCAAATAACATGTTGCTAATCTCAGACTTTTTGTTTGTAATGTTAGGAACGGGCTCATAATTACATCATGCTGTGTGCAAGATGAGTCATCATATTTTAGGTCCCAATGTAAACACTTCAGTTTGTAAACATTTAGGAGAACGCTAGCTTGTAAAGTTGACAACATCAAAGCTAACAGACACGGATTTAGATTAATGGCTTGAGTCTATAATGAAGCCTCATTAAAATAACTAACGTTTTCCTCTAGACGATTTTCAAAGAACCTGGCTGAAGTCTCAAAGAGAATAGACCATTTCATCTCTGAGTATGGGGATATTCATTTAAACAAGCACACGGAGTCGAGAGTGATTCTCTTTGGTTGGAGGTTGTACATGGCAGAGAAATACGTGGCTGACAGATTCTGTTCTACATTGTCCAAGTGTGTGAACCAAAAGCACACAATAGAAGATGAGTGTGAAGATAAAAGTGATACCAAGAAAGTAAACACGATAAAACTTTTAGTCTCCTTGACGATAACATGCTGTTATGCTTTGAAATTAGGCTGTTTTGGAAAGATTGTCAGGAAAAGTTTAGAGGACTAGAGAGGCAGTGAATTTGAAGTTTCTGTGGAGAAACTGCCTTCAAATACACTCACACTAAAGTAAAAAATAAAAAAAGCGAGTCAGTGTCATAAACAATTTATGATTAAACAACATTTGTGAATGTGTGAGTTTCTCTTCCAAGCCAAGCGAGTGATATGTATCAGGGGAAATGCCGGCAACTTGGTGTCATATAGTCAGCTTTTTAACCTTTTTTTAACCGGTAAACTAAATGTCAAGCCATTAACCCCTTAACCGTCACCGTCCCGACTAACTTTACTTCACTATATTTCTATTAAATCCTATTCTAATTATGACAAATTATATATTGTTGGAAAGGTCTAAGACTTCTAAATAGATATTCTACCCCTGTTTTGTGTTAAAAATTATGTAAGAAAAGTAATTGATGAATTTATGACAAGAGTACACCTCAAAAAAAATCTGCATCATAACAGGAGTTTTGGACAAAAAGTTGATGAACCCACTTTTAATCATTGAAACTTCTGTTTTTATGCTAAAAGTTCATAATAAACATATAATCTAGTATTTTTCAATAAAAAATAAAAAAAATATAGTACAATATTATCCTCTAAAAATGATAATATTTATATTTATTATCCTCTAAAATATAATATTATTTTTATCGCCTTTTTTATTATATCACATATTTTAGTAGTTATCATAAATTAGGTATCATTTGAAAGCTTATAAACTCAGAATTCATCGTGTGAAAACTGTTTTATAATTGAAAGTTGCGTTACCATAGAAACGGTACTTATTTTATCAGGCTCCTCCCCTTTTGGGCATCATTATAATTCATAATTTATGATCAAAACCCTTTCTAATCTTGACAAAACTGATATTGTCAGAAAGGTCAGAGTCTCAAGGTTCCAAATTTTGTGACAGAATTGATATTTGGACAGAAATGTATTAATTTGTTAAGGCAGAATGTATACAACTAAATTCAATGGAATTCAATGGCACCCGGTGGCTATTTTTGGTACTACGCCTAAACAAAATCTCATGGGAACTTCAATTTTTGTGTTATCAACTTCAAATTTGGAACATAACTTGATAAGATGTATGGCTTTGATTTTATAGAAATTTTAGTGTAAAAAATATTTTATAAAATATATGTTTTACATAAAATAATAAAAAAAATATATAGTACATTATATTTAATTTACTGTAAATTTAAACTTCCATAACTTTTTCATACTTTCATTTTTTGAAGTGTTTTTTAAGCAATATTCTGATGAGTGTTTTCTTTAAAACAAGACCAAACTTGGGTATATATTCCAAAGCATTCTTAAATTACAACCATTTAAGTTTGAATAGTGCATTTTAACCCCCATTCTCAAAAAGGGGGGTGACAGCTAAGGGGTTAAAATCATCGCTCTGTTCAAATCACAGTCAATGAGATTGTTTTGTACAAAAGCTCAAAGTCCAAGTTAATGCTAAGAAATTTAGACATATAGATATATTGCCATATATTTTGACCTATTTGCTCCATTAGCCAAAACAGGTTGAAATAAAGTTACAACAATTAACTGCAACGTCTCTGAGCGTGTTTCATCTCAGCATAGAAAAAAAATATGTAATAAAATACACAAATTATTTGTGTTGTGTGATTGGATGAGTGATTGAGTCACAATGAATCAATGGATCACACACTGTAAAAATATATATATATATTTTCAATAATTTATTTAGTTAGTCAGATAACTTATTATTTTGAGTTTCTGATGATTAAAGCAATCTCCTTCATAGTATTAACTCACTTTTTCCAGTTCAATCAACTTAAACCTAAGGCAATTTTTTAAGTTAAACCAACAATATTTTTTACAATGTGGTAATCGCTGGAATGTGAGCTGTATGTATTTAATTTAGATAAATTACCTCGCCCTTGCATTACAGATATTCATTTGGAGGTAATAATTTCTCATCGTAACAGCTTGTTTCAAATTAGAACCTATAAATGCTATTAAAGTGTGCGAATTAAACTGCACAAATCAATGAAAGTGCACAATCCCGAAAAAAAAAAACATTAGCTTTGCACATTACGAGCTGATGAATTACACAATATAAGTGAATGGCTGTCAGCTTACAGTTTGTATTATATATTTCAGAAATATTCAAATACGTACATATAATCCTTTTAAAAACACAATGATGGTAATGTGCAAACACTGTTCACACGTAGTAGGGTTCATTGGAAATCTGTCATTGAAAGTCTAATTTAAATCTGAAAACAAACAAACTTGTGTGATTTTGATGAATTTAAAAAGCAAATGATGCAAAATTGCTTCAGAAATATTTGAGGCTCTGGACTCTTTCTATGCTACCAATCAAATTAACTAAGAAACTTCATGGCACATCATGACAAAACAGGTTGCCGACCTCTGGCATTCATGGTACACTAATAAGGCAAAACATAGGGTGCAATCGATTCGGCTTGAGCTAAGGAATCAGTGGGGGAAAATAATTGTGTTTATGGTTCTAAAGTTATTAGCATAAACATGAGTGAATCTTTGGACAGTTGGTGGCGCTAGTGGGATTGATTTAGAGACTCCAAAATTGCTATGGTGACAGTTCAGACTGTCCTCTATTGTATCTGTGTGCCAAATTTCATATCTTTCCTGGATACGGTTCTATGGGCTGCCATAGACACCAAGTTGGAGGAGGATGAGGATGAGGAAGAGGAGCTTCGGTGCTTGGCCCCTAAAAATCACATTATTTACCAAGATACCAAGAGATGTAAAATATTAAACACATGCAGTGCTTCAAAACCAGAGAAAATATAAATGAGTGATGAGGTAAACAGAAACCATTTTCATAAAGATTTGTTGATGCCAAAAAATGCTAAGTGAATTATCATGCTGTTTACATGAGGGATGAGTCGTGGCCCCATTAGCAGCTCTCAAACTGCCGTGACTAACAGGCCGCTTCACACTTTCATCATTAAGAGTGTTTTAGCACCAGCAGAATCCCTCTCTTAAAACCTTTCAGGATCAAACGCATTTACACATGACGCATTTCTGCCAAACTTTCAGGCTACACCACCAAACTCCACTTAATTTAGCTAAACACTCTCACATTTCGGGTTTGCAATCCTAGTCTTATTTCATCTTCATTAAATAAATAAGAATAAACAAATATAATAAGTATAAATAAGTGTCTTTAGAAAAAAGAACTGTGTCCATGGCACTTTGATAAGGAAACTAAACTATAGCTGTGTCTGAAATCGCTCCCTATCCACTATATAGTGCACTATATCGGGTGTCGGCCATTTTGTAGTGGTGTCCGAATGAACGACATCATTCCCTACATTCATTCACTACTTTTACCCACAATCCTCTCTGAATTCGAGTGTACATTCGATGTACACTTGCTGAAGCCCTATTTCCCACAATCCAATGCGGAGAGAACTGAGCGCGCATGAAAGTGCGGCGCGAGCAAGTTTAAACCAGAGATTACATTACATCCAGTGGAGGATTTGAAAAATATCCGTTAATCGTCGTTAGGAAGCGTATTCATTTGAATATACGGTCGCCGGAGGGCGCTCGACGACACGTCATCTGTGAACGTGAGAGTTACAATTTCAGTCGATGAAATTACAAAGCTGGCACGGAGGTATATATATAATTACAAAATAAAGGCATTATGATTGTTATTGTTGTTAATATTATTTTATAAAGTAGGTAATGTAAGAAAAAAGGAGTTTTATCAGTACGCGTGACGAAGCCTTTTCTGCGACAGCTCCAACTCTCCGACGCACAGTGTAAACGTCAGCGTCCGAATTCACTCACTTCATCTCGTTCACTCCTTGCAGATATAGTGCACTCAAATGCCATACACTATATAGGGATTAGTGAATGAGTGAACGAGTGAGCGGTTTCAGACACAGCTTATGGTTCAACCAAGAAACATGTATGTTCAAAAAATGGTTCTTAAAGCTGCAGTCCGCAGTTTTTCCTCTTTGTCGCCATCTCTGTTCGAAATGTTGTAATTGCAGTCATTCGCGGAATTATCGACTTTACGCGAGTTGTACATCAAGTTGTCCTTCGACATGACACCACACGAATGAACAAAATGTTTGAGGAGAGTGTGAGGCTGTCAGTCACCGCGCCGGTGTGGATACTGGCGTTCAGAATCAAAGATTATTCTTTTTGGAAGCATGACCAACATAATAATTTTCACCGGAAAATGTCATCTAAACAAGTAAAATCCAGATGTTTGTGTACTGATGCGACGTAATGATGCACAGACATGCTCAAATCTCCAGCAGAAATCCACCAGTACAGTGGAATTAAAAACATTGAATCGAGCTACGGCAAGCAGAGAGTTTTGAACACTGGCTGGTTATGTATTTTCTCAAATATTATTAATTTTGGATCATTTTTAACCCCAAAAAAGCAACGGACTGCGGCTTTAAGACGTCAGTTTTAACGTCTATTTAAATATCTTAAATACTACAAATCGATACAAATAAGCAAAGCAATATTTTACTTTCATCAAAATTCTTATAATACTTACAAATATTTCTTATTTTCGTAGACGTCGTGCAACTTTAATACATGCGGGTGTTCTATTAGCTTCAAGATGGCGATCTCTCGCTCCACCTGTGGAGAAGTAAAGAGAAAAGAAAGATTTTGAACTCACAACAAAAAAAACAACAACAAAAAGTCATAACATTAATGTGCATTTTAAATGTATCATAACTTAGCGTGGGAATCATAAATAATTTATTGGTTCAGATTCCTCCTAACAATTCTGCTTAATGGTTCCACGTATGATTGTTTTACTTGTAAAAAAAAAAAAAATATTTGCATATATGACCTGAATGATAATTCAATTTAAAATTGAGAAATGCTGTTGAAAATTTACATCAACACCAATCAAGGGGGAGGGGTGTGTTTGTTTGGGTGTCGATTTCAAATATCAACAGTTTCTCAGAAATTTCTTACTGCGCCTTTAACTAGTAAACAACAATCCTAAACTAACAAAAAGTGTGGTACAATGTTTATTATTTTATAAATTACTACTGACAAAATTAGTAATGAGTGAATTCATAATTTAACTAAATAAATTTACACGACAATGCCGCTTATGGGGGCCTGAAAACACAAACCTTTGAAAACGGGTTTCAAAGAGCAAGTTTTTGAAAACAATACCGTGATCATCTCCGCGTAAACTGCAAAAACGTAAACTGTAACATCATGCGCATGCGTATTCGTGTTTAGTAAGCGTGCGTGAGTACTTGACAACCAAAACGATAAAGTCACATCACCAACTGGCCTGGCAGCCAAATACTGTACATTTATAGCCATTTTACTGAATCTGTACAGTATGATGAATGGGGATCTTTTGACAACATTGTCGTCTGTTAGCAAAGCTTTTCCATTTTTAGTATGTCATTGTCATGTAAAAAAAAATACTATAATTCACTAAAAGAAATGACTCATCAGAGTCTGAGACTGTACTAGTCATGCTGTATATGAAGAGTTCAGATGCAAAAGCCTCTAAATGCCATTTGAAATTTTCTTCTAAAATGATCATTTTTATCAAGCTTGTATATTTAAGTTCAGTAATTTCACTTAAAAGACAATAAATAGCTAATCTTCATTGCCATTTAAGTGAAATTACTGAACTTAAATATACAAGCTTGATAAAAATGATCATTTTAGAAGAAAATTTCAAATGGCACTTAGAGGCTTTTGCATCTGAACTCTTCATATATATATATATATATATATATATATATATATATATTCATTAAAAATAACTAGCTCAAAAGCCACATTTATTTGAAAATGGGACTAAACTAGAATTCACTAAAATAAATGACTCATCAGAGTCTGAGACTGTACTAGTCATGCTGTATGTATATATGTATATAATATATATATATATATATATATATATATATATATATATATATATATATATATATATTCATTAAAAATAACCAGCTCAAAAGCCACATTTATTTGAAAATGGGACTAAACTAGTTGCACTGTTTTTGATTCGCTAGTCCATGTTTGAACCTATACAGCAGTATTTGGGAGCAGTCAAATTGCATCTTATTCTCCATCAGGCTGCTGAGCTTTGAGAGGTTTTTATAAAATGTAGAACGATCACAAATCAGCAAAAAAAACTCAGGGTTGAGAGCCCTATGTAGGAAGAGCACACCTTTGCAGAATTGTTCAGGAATAGTGCACAGCACAAGTCTGAAAAGCTAAGCACACTTGTCAGTCTATTGTACAGATGCTTCTTTATTTGATTCCCAAATGCACAAGATAAACATAGTTTCTCCTTGAATCAAGCTTAAGATGACTTATAAAGCTAGTCTATGTGAAAGATCTCTCTGACCTGACAGGGAACCAAAGGAAATCTTAAAATCACAAGCACTTCGTAAAAAAACTGAGCTCATAAGTCAGAGACTGAACCTAAGATTGTGCAAGTTGTAAGCATGAGAATCGTCCTTGATTTACATCACTGTCTTTGGGAATATTCCTGGCATGCACACCTGCCATTGCAGATCAGATCAGAGGATTGGGGATGGAGACCATATTCCTAAACACCTGACCCTGATCCCGCTCCTCAAAACCCCCATCCTCAAACACACCACACTACAGTAAAGAGCACTCAGGTGGAACTAATAGTCTCTAGTGCTTTGGAATATATGGAGTCAAACTTCAGTTCAGTAACTCTGTAACTTGACTTTGACCCCATTTGCCATTGACTTTTCAAAGCACAGCCAATGATTTACCCACAAAAATCGCATGATGTATCACGAGACAACATTGTTCACAAAAACAAAACAAACACATTAAAAAAAAAATTACGTTTTTTTTCTGAATGTTATAAAAAATTCCCATCATAGTGTCGATTCCACAAAATATATTCATTATTTTTATTTTAAATCCAGTTGTTCCTGAAAATGTTTTTTTTTAGTAAAGTACAGTAATACAATATTTCATAGACGTGTTCACTTATCTATAAACGCATTAAATTTAAACAACATTTCAATTCATTACTTCTATAGATTTATAAAAAGTTCCTAAATAAAGTGGCAAAGCATTGAAAGATATACTGTATGTTAAAATAAGAAACATTTTAAATTAAAACTTACAATCGATAAAAAACAGCAAACCCTCATACCTTTTCTTTTTAAATTAAATCTCTTTTTGGTGATCAAAGATAAGTTTTAAAGGGATACTCCACTTTTTTTGGAAAAAGGCTCATTTTACAACTCCCCCAGAGTTAAACAGTTGGGTTTTACCATTTTCGAATGTATTCAGCCGATTTTCTGATATTTAGAAGTAGGGGTGGGCGATATGGAAAAAATATATATTATATAGATATAGATATACTAAAGTTCTCAGTCAGTGAGTGATTTTCTCCTTGTGTTTTTTATTTTATTTTTATTAACACTAAAGGGATAGTTCCCTCAAAAATGAAAATTGTCTTAATTTACTCTCTCAAGATGTTTTAAACCCGAATAAGTTTCTTTCTTCTGTTGAAAATTAAAGTTATTTTGAATAATGTGGGTAACCGAAGAGTTGCTGGTCCCCTTATAGTTTTTTTTTTATAGGTTCTCTCCTGGAAGTTAATGGGGACCAGCAACTGTTTGGTTACCCACATTAAAAAAAAAAATTGTCTTTTGTGTTCAGCACAAGAAAGAAATTAATACAGGTTTGGAACAACATTAGAGTGAGTAAATAATGACGGATTTTTTTTTATTTTTTTGTGAACTATCCCTTTTAAGGACAAGCGGCATTAGGCTACTATTTATTCCTGTTGCTTTTAGACCAGCACGCGACGCGTTTAATATAGACGCATATTACACCAGATATTCTCTTAAATGTTTGCTTTCACTTTAGACATAGCCTGTTTATGTAAACATTGTGTGTATTTAACAGTATTAGCTTAATAAGACTCGAGAGATAACTTAGTCCAGTATTCAGGCGCTGTTTGACAGGCTTCTAGTGCCTGTGAGTGTCAGGGGTATGCGGTCAGGAAAGCGCACGTTAGAACAGCGCATCAGCGCGTGAATTAAATGTTTAACTGGCAAGGCTTATGCAAATAATGAACTTTTGTGAATTGCGGTGTCCCGTACCTATTCCTTAACGTGTGATCATGTGTGCTACGTCGCGTTGTACAGTTGAGAGACGGAGGCGCAAGAACTGAACTGATAGAATGCACTGTAACACGATACTACGATATTTCTTCAAAAGCAGATCGTGGAGACATTTTAATCGTCCACGATTAAAAATCGTCATATCGCACACCCCTATTTAGAAGAATATCAGTAACCAGACTGGTCTCATTGACTTCCATAGTCAGTCCCTCCAGAAAAACGCCATTATGCCATCGCTGAATTCAATGCAAAATCAGCCAAAGTCCGCATATTTATGCGGGGGCCGCATTTTTTCAAATACGCCGCACTTTCGCCGCATAAATTGCAGATTTCCGTGCGAAATATGCGGGGTTTGCATAATTTCATATTTCTCACATTTTCGTTGCAAATACATATTCCCACATATTCCATCGCATTTTTAAAGAAAACGGGCGGCGTAATCAATGAATTTTTGCTATTATGCTAAATGGTAAATGTTATATATAAATCGCAAATTTTTTCACAAATTTTTGGAAATTACCACCACAAAATCAGTCATTTTGATCGCAAAAATCACACACAATGGAGGGACTGCATAGTATATACTATGGAAGTCAATGAGACCAGAAATTGTCTGTATACTGATATTCTTCTAAATATCAGAAAATCGGCTGAATGGATTCGAAAACGGTAAAACCCAATTGGGTCTGTGAAAGCGTTATATAAATGCAGTCCATTTTCCATTTATTCGCAGAATTAGATAATCTATAGTCTCCTTTTCAGTTGGTAAACATGGTCACATTTTTTGTGGGTGGAGCTTAGGTGGAGGCAGAACGATCCCTCTGGCCACTTCATTAACTTTAGTTAGCAAGTATTGTTAGCTTGTTTTTTAACAATGACTGGAGAAAATCCGATATTATCTTAATGTGTAAGGTCACTCAGTGTCCAGGACCGCGATTGTTATTTCCAAAAGTTATTTTTAACGGACGGAACCAGATTGGCCGACCCGTAGCCGCCTACACGCTCACTCAATGCATGGACGATCTGACAGGATTAACGTTACGTTACCTCGGGTGAGTGGCCTGACTTCTACACCTTACCTTATAGAGAACCCGATCGTAAAGAGAAACTGAGGGCATATAAATCTTTAGATGCCTATAACTATATGGTCCTGTACAGGATTTGAGTGTACGATCCGAACTGTTACATCGGTGCAAAAGTGGTCTATAAGCACTTTATTTCCCCTTTCCAATTTTTTTCTTAATTACACAGTGTAAATTTAGCATCTATCTCTATTTGCATCTGGGGTAAATAAAATCTACCGCTAAGAAAATACAGCTAATTCCACTTAGTGTACATAGCCTCTGGCAAAATAAATAAATAAATAAATTTCTATCCAACGTAAACCCATCTATTCTAACATTCTATAACTGAAGAGTTCAGATGCAAAAGCCTCTAAATGCCATTTGAAATTTTCTTCTTTAATGATGATTTTTATCA